TATTATTATTATTATTATTTCTACTACTATTGTTATTATTAATAATAATATTGTGCATTTATGGCATATCATGGGTGTGTTATTATGTATTAGATTATATAACATTTATGTATAAATCTAAATATGTGTGTGTGTGTGTGTGTGTGTGTATATATATATATATATATATATATATATTAGTCTGTGAATTAATTTCTTTTTTATTTATATATATTTTTTTATGTCCAGAAGGTCACTTTGAGTTTGTGGACTGAAAGGGGAAAGGAGATCGAGCCCTTCTGTGCACATCACTGCGTTCACCTCATTTCACCCTCTGTGCCCGATGATAAACATTTTTAAATAATGAAGGGCGCGTAGGGATGATCAGATTTGGGAAGTGATTTATGATGACGAGGGGGCAGAGGTGACGGCAGGGAGAGGGACGTCCTGTTTTGGCCAGACACTGGCTCTTAATCACTCTCTGTAGTCAGATAATGACATGCATTATTTAACATCAGGCCAATATAATCCCACTTTCACAGCGCTCATGTTTCAGCTCTCCTGTGGCGCATGCGGCGGTCAGTCCGTGTCTCTGATCCCTGCTTTATTAAATCTGTCCCTACAGCTTGGATGGGATTTATTCTGACAAAGTGTGGTGCTGAAGGTTCTGCGACTGAAACTTTTCTGCTGAAATTGAGCTCCGGAAAGGTGTTTTGTCAATCAAGGTTATGCTGGCTATTCCCCCTCTGCTTCAGTGTGAGTTTCAGGCTTTGTCACTGATTTTAATGGTATGACTGGCATTTCAGTAACATTCTCTTGAACTTTTGGTGGCACGTGTTTGCTGGTTCATTGCTAATCTGTCTGCACACACAGTCCAGTGCATGAAATATATGTCTAACATTTGAAATGCTAAAATTTAGCTGTAGCAAGTGCACACTCACTAATTTAAGCACATAAAATTTAGATATAAAAAATATATTGCTCACTTGGCATGTTTATATATATGCAAATTTCTGTCATGAAACTCTAGATGGCGTAGGCCGATAGGTTCTAACTCAATCTGATATAATTACATCATCATTCACATGGTGCAGCTGATTGGTTTCTTTTTGTATCAGCAACCAATGAACTCGCTGCTCAACATTCAAATAATTGGCTAGTGCTTGCTGTAGCAGTTGCAGCGCGTTTCAGAAACCCTCCACCTTCCCCAGCTCCACCTGTATAGATCTGCTACTGGGTAATTTCATGTATGTTATACACAGGGGTTATTTCATATTTGTTATATGTGCAGCAGCAGTATTTCCTACATGCTCACAGCAGCATGTCTGTGGATGTATTTGCAGTAGCAAGTCTTTGTACTTGCTCTGCTGCAGAAGCAGCGTAGCAGATCTATTCCGCCAAGAACAAACATTAACACTGTCCTGAACTGTAGAACTGTAGTTTAACCAGTTTAAATTATGAGTAGTTTGGCAAGCTGTGCTTGTGATATTCTAGGACAGAAAATGAAATGTGTAAGTTTGGACACTATTTTACCTACAAGTACATTATTGGAGGAGACACATCAGATGCATTCATTACCTTTAAATGGAAAATACTATCAACTAATAATATATTTATTATTCAGTACAATACAAGTATCATTAAAATTATTAAAATATTGCCTCATTAGCATATAGCATGCACAACTAATTCCAAATTAGTCACTTAAGAGGTCACTTAAGAGATCTTAATCAGGATGCTACCTATGTAGACAGCAAGGCAGTTGACTAGAAGGAACAGCGCCTAAATATGACAAATAACCTCACTGACTGTCCAGTAGAGGATATGGACATTTCTTAATGACACAAACATTTGTTATTAGAATTTTTCAGCATCCTCTGTATACTGGTAAATATCTTGCATATATATCTTGTTGCAGAATAGTATTAATTAGAATTTGTCAGGACCCAAATATATATTTCTGCTTCTAAGTAACCATTTTGGAGTATTTAGCAAGTTTGCGAGAATTTGTGCAGTAAACATTTGCTTATCTGCACAGGATCTTGCTAAGCATACGAGTATGAGCTGTTGAAGAACAATTCTGGCACACGAGTGACAACTGAAAGATTGCTGTAAATTGGTCAGTTTTCACCCTGCTCATCCATTTCTCTCTTTCTTTTTCTTTTGCACCTTTGTTTATCCATCCTAGATTGGTGGGTTGGTGGGTGTGGTTTTAGTGTCTCATCATTAGGAAGGTAATGCTATCTGTCCAGACCTGTCTGAGCAGCAGAGCTCTAATTAACTATAATGGAAATGTCAATCACAGTAGGAAGACAAGCTGTCCGCAGCTATCTATTCTCAATTGCACTGCACTACCAGCAAGCAATTCCATTCTAACAATTACAAGAGTAGTTCACCCAAAATAAAAAAATCTGTCATTATTTACTCACCCTCATGTTGTTCCAAACCCATGTGACTTATGTGACTCGTGGAACACAAAAGGAGAAATTCTGAAGACTTTGCTGGTTTCTCTTTTCCATGCAATTAGCTTCAAAAACAAATGTATTGTAAAAGTGGTCAACTTTAAGTCATAAGGTAACTTTAGGTGAAAAACAGACCAAAACTCACTGTCGTCAATCACTGAACTCTATTGCCCTCCATGCTCATGAGTGTACAAGACAGAAGTAAAAAGGTCCAATTAATTTTTTTTAGATGGATCTTAATTAATTTGTTTGTCTGGTTCACAAAACCAGACTCAATGATTCATTCACAAGTCGTACTGATTCGGTTCCCAAGTTCAATACACTGACTCTGATCCGGTTTCAGCAGGTAACAGCCTACTAGAGGGAAAGATTATTGGTGAATACAGATTCTATGTGTGTTCCACACAGGAAATAAAATCATATGGGTTTTGGAACAGTGTGTGGATGAATAAATGATGACAAACTTTTCATTGCTGGGAGAACTATCCATTTAATATAACTTTAAACTGTGCAGCACTAAGCCAAAAAATAAAATATTTTCATATCGTGTTTTAGGGCAATCAGACCAGAAAATGCATAGATTACTATCTCTAAATGGCCTTGATTGTGATATTTGCTATTCTGTGCGTTCACAATGAATCACTTGCCAAGGAATGTGCCTGAAAATAAGTGTGAGTAGTAACTATAAGGGAAGAGGTTGACTCAAGTACTGTTCATGTGTTGTGTTACAACCTGAGGTTACTGAATCTGAGATTGACTTACATATAATTGATCACATGCTTTGCAACACTGCTAATTAGGGTTGAGGTCAAATAACTGATTTTATCATGAAGGGCTAATTCGTTGCTAGTTATGTTGTACACAAATTAGTGCATGACAAAACAAATGACTCTCTTTAATGCATCTCCTTAATCTAAACTGCATGACTAAAGTTACCTCAGAATCGTTCACAAATACACTTTGTAAACACAGAAACAATGCACAAATAATGAGTCAAAAAATGCTTTATATTTACTTTCAACAATTATGAAGAGACACAATACAAAAAGCTGCCTTTCCAAGATATTCGACGAATGACCTGAAGTCATTTATCTCCAATGTTTCAGAGTAGTACTGGAGCTGCATGTAGTTCTGGCCATGTGGACATGTGAAATTTTCGGCTCCAATTTGAGCTTTGGATGTTGAAATATTTGAAATTTTGATTGGGATGTGATTTGAGCTTTGAATATTTCAATTTTGAGTGTGTGCAATTTGAGCTTCTGATGTGTATGCAACTGCCTGAACAGATGTGAATTATTCTAATCAAAACTATGAGCACGAAGAGAGAATTAACAATAGTTTTGCACTTAAATGTTAACATTTAAATGCTATTTATTTAAACTGGGTATTTATGAATAAGTCTTCACAAAATTGGAAGACTTATTACCCATAAGATGGGCGTGTGCAGTTTACATTGTAGAGCAAAACGTTGAAGTGTTGTCAAGTTATGTTCACCACAGCCCTTATTTTACTCATAAATTGTATTAATCTCATTCAGCTTTTGTCTGGATATAACTATACATCCATTATTGATTATTTCAACATGGTGAAGAAGTGAATGGTAACAGCTGCTTCCCAATCAATTTGAAAGTTATGTGCAATTGCCAATAGGAGGCAAATATATATATATATACATATACATACACATACGTATATATATATATATATATATATGGCAATACGTGGTCAGGTAGGGGAAATTACCAAAAACAACGGATCCAAATCCTATAATCTACTACGCCACCCGGAATATACACAGGGACATAACCCTATACAAGGGCACACAGGTTCGTTGCCAAAGGCAGGGTGAGCATGGAGACATAGACAAAGTAAAAAAATTAAGCCATTTATTTATACACCAATGAAACATTAGTTTGACACATTGGTTTTGTACGCAATCTTAATCAGTCAGATACACAAATCTACCAGTTACAGAAATGACCAGTAGGAGAGAAATGGCCAGCAGGGGCCTTTTGGATTGTCACCTCACACCATCCCCACACCACACAGTTGTGAAAGCAATAAAATTGGTTAAGCACTGCACTCCATGTGGACACGCTAAAAGACTGCAACCCCCGCTTTAAAAGTTTCTACTCCTAAATGACATGGTTAACTGGTACAAACAGACACATTCAAAAATACAAAACTCACTTTCATACCACAACAGAACAATCTACTCCCAAAAGG